GTTGTTGAGCATCTTTCCATTTATTTTTATAAGCTGACTTTCTTTTTCTGTGGACTTCCTATTTAGGTCCTTTTTTCTCTTTTATAATGGTTTGCTGGTATTTTCCTTACTGATTCTCAATCTCAGCAGCTCTTTATATATAAAGCCTTTTCCCATACCAGGTGCAAAACCTTCTTTTCAGTTTTTTGTCTTTAGATATTGTTTATGTATTTTTGCAGTGCCATACATTGTTTTATGTAGTCGAATTTAACAATGTTCCCCTTTTTGGCTTCCTCTGTGTCTTGTTTAGAAAGACCTTTAAGGGGCGCCTGGGTGGCTCAGCCAGTTGGGCATCCGACTTCGGCTCAGGTCATGATCTCATGGGTTTGTGGGTTCGAGCCCCGCGTCGGGCTCTGTGCTGACAGCTAGCTCAGAGCCTGGAGCCTGCCTCGGATTCTCTCTCTTTGTCTCTCTCTCTCTCAGAAATAAATAAAACATTAAAAAAATTAGAAAGACCTTTAGTATTGCAAGATAAAATGATATATTAAAAATCATATACTAAGCTATGTTTTTGGGTAAATGTCTAGATCCAGTTATGGTCCATTGATCTGTCTATTCATGTGCCAGTTGAAATTAAACTATTTTAATTACTGTAGTTTTATAATATGTTTCAAAAGGACTGATCCCTTTCTCCCTTATTACTCTTATTTTTCAGACCTTTCCTGGCTAATCTTACAGATGTATATTTCCATATGTACTTTGGAATCACCCTGAGCATGTTGGATTAGAATGTGTCTGTGAGACAGTTTGTGGAGATGTGTAACACACAGTTGAATCTGGAATATAGGAGTGTGCTCTTCTCTGGATATAGATATCTAGGAGTTATCAGCAGTACCTGAAGTCTCTCAAGAAAAGTTTATAGAATGAGAAAGACGGTCTGAGATAGAACTTTAGGTTAGTGGTTCTCAAAGTTCAGTACTCAGACCAGCAGCACCAGCACTACCTGAGAACTTCTTGTGCCCTGATTGGATCAGAAACTCTATGGGGAAGAGGGCAACAATACGATCCTTAAATCCTCCAGAGAATTCTAATGCACACTTAAATTTGAGTACCACTGTTTTAGGGTAGTTAGGAGACAGATTAAGGGAAAAGAGCTGAAAATAAGCAGTAGGAAGAAACCTAGAAGAGAAAGGTGTTTAATAATCAAAGATAAGAAATTTCAAAATGAAGCATTCAACCAGGCTAATATTTATTAGGCAACAAATACTTCCAAAGAGCTTTATACATATCATCTCATTTATTTGTATGATTCCATAAAGCTATAGAAATCTTCCAAATGAAGAAATTGTGATTAGGTAACTTGTTAAAGGTTGGCCAATTGGTAAATTATTTGACACCAGTACAATTATATACCAAATGACTACATTCCTTCTCCTATACTACACTGCTGAAAAAAACTCAATTGGAAAATCGCCCATTGGAAAAGAAGGAAAGATGCGCCTTCATCTTTTTTCAACCTCAAGCACACTAATTCATCTTGGAGCTACACAGAGAAGAATGTTGTGGTAGTGGAAGAAGCCAGACTGCAGTGAGGAAATGTGAGGGAATAAAGGGAGACAATGAATATAAGAATACTTTTCAAGAGCCTAAGGAGCTGGTCTGTGAAGGGAAAGAGATTGGTAGTTGGAGAAGGATGAAGGTAAAGGGCAGGTGATGTTTTTAGGAGGAAGTGACTACCTAAAGATACTTACATGTAATTGAGACTAATTTATATTGGGAATAATATTATATGGATCTAGAATAATCTTTGGTTCTGATATACCTATACTCTACAACTGCCAGTTGAATCTCTACAGATCTCATCAGTCACCTCAAACTCAATAGAAAACCAAAGAAAAACCAAACAAACACTGACACCAAGCCCAACTATTCCTAATTTATCTTTTTAACAATCTTGTTTATTTGTTTTCTTTAAATCTTTAAAGGTCTGACTGGCTCAAACCTTGTAACCAGTTTACTTCTCCTCTTCTTTAGCCTGTGTATTGAATCAGTCACCAAGTCCTGGCTTTGAAATATCTCCCCCATTAACTCTTCCTGTCTATTCCTACTGTCACTACTCAATACAAGCAATCACACCATGTGTCCTCCTTACATTCAATCCAACCCACACCAATCTCCCACAAACACCAATTTCATTCCTATTCACCTAATCACAATCCTGCAATAGTTCTCTGCTGCCTACTAGGTAAAGTTTGCTTTTCTGGGCTTTCTATAGATTGTCCAAATTTTCCTCTTACTGATTCCCTACACAAATCTTATGTTGTATGGGCTTCCTTAATAGTCCCCAAACCTACATTTCTCTTTATCTTCTCTTTATGCCTTCCCATATACCATTTAGGAGTTTGGACAAGCTCTCCCCCCCCCCTTTTTTGGAAGCTCCTTGTGATGTTCTTCCAGTGTTCACAATCATTTGTTGCTTGTGATCACTCATTTTGACAATCATCTATTTCCTTGCTCAACCATTCTACCTATACACATTCATCTTCCTCCCCCAGAGTTCAGGGCTAGAGAATGCTTTTTAAAAATTTTTTTAATGTTTATTTATTTTTGAGAAAGAGAAACAGAGTGTGAGCAGGGGAGGGGCAGAGAGAGAGGGAGACACAGAATTTGAAGCAGGCTCTAGCCTCTGACCTGTCAGCACAGAGAGCCCGACATGAGGCTCAAACTCATGATCCATGAGATCATGACCTGAGTCCAAGTCAGACACTCAACCAACTGAGCCACACAGGCACCCCTAGAGCGTACTTCTGCTATGATCACCATGACATTGTTTAACATATTGCTAAGTACGTGCTAAACACTCACACTCAAAAATATTTATGGAATCAGTGAAATTGTACCATCAGAACTTGCTATTTAAAGAGATATTTGGTGAATTAATGTTTAGAAAATGCCCATTTCTTTTCAACTTTCAAATGCCATATTAAAAACAGTATGCATTCACCAGTAATGTACCTGGTATCAGGTATTGTTCTAGGAATTTTCTCATGAAGTACTTATTTAATCTTTACCAGATCCCTGTCAGGTGGGAATTACAGCCCTGAATTCCCCATAAGGACAAGACTACGAGATGGTTAGAGGCTTGCTTAGTATTTCAACTGTTTTCTTTTTTTTTAAATTTTTAATGTTTTATTTATTTCTGAGAGAGAGAGAGAGACAGCGTGAGCAGGGGAGGGTCAGAGAGAGAAGGAGATACAGAAACTGATACAGGCTCCAGGCTTTGAGCTAGCTGTCAGCACAGAGCCTGACACGGGGCTTGAACCCACAAACAGTGAGATCATGACCTGAGCCGAAGTTGGACGCTTAACTGACTGAGCCACCCAGGCACCCCTCAACTATTTTCACTGAGTACTCAAAGTCTGTACTTAAAACCCCAAGTTCACTGCTCTATTCTTCATAACACAGATTCCTTTCTTTCCATTTTTATTTTTTAAACAGGGTCCCATGGATCTTAGCTGAATATTTTTCTAGAGTCTTGGAGTAAGGAAAATTCTAGTTAACAAAATAGGTAAATAATGAATATATTTACATCTCAAGTTTAGTATCTAATTACAGTCCCTATGAATAATGAGAGAAAGTACCTTTGTGTCCCCAAAGTAAACCTGTGCTATAATGCAAAGAGAGATGAGATGCAGCAGGGTGCTGTATTAACATTCATAATTACGCATCTTATGTTCCAAAAATGAATTGTTGTTTGACAGCAAGTGAAAATGACAATAATAAAAATTATGGCAAAAGCACATAAGGTTAATCAACATATAATCGACTTACAAATATGCACATTTTAGATGTTTTATTGGTGTTTATGATTTATTATTTAGAAACACCGTAAACTAATCTACCAGAATATATTTCCCTATTAAAGATGTCTGAAATGAAAACATGCACACATAAAGTGAATTAATTTTTTATGACACATAGTAGATATATCACTTAAGGGAGATTTTATTCCACAAACGCAATAACCTACACATAATGAGGTGTCGACTTCTTCAGTGATACTTAGCCTAAAACAAACACATACACACACAAACACATATTTTGGGGGCAATTTAAACCTATCGGGGAAAAAAAGACTAGATTAATAAGTCTTATTTTCAGTATCTCCTAATGCATGCTTTATTAAACAGAGCACACCCCACAGAAACAGGAGGAATGAATACAAATGACAATATTTTCCCACTGACTGACCCAGCTTCAGGTCAGAAAAAAAAGATTCCTTCAGGAGCGCCTGGGTGGCTCAGTCGGTTAAGCGTCCAGCTTGGGCTCAGGTCAAGATCTCACGGTTCCTGGGTTTGAGCCCCGCGTCAGGCTCTGTGCTGGTAGCTAGCTCAGATCCTGGAGCCTGCTTCAGATTCTGTGTCTCCGTCTCTCTCTGACTCTACCCTGCTCGTGCTCTCTGTCTCTCTCTCTAAGAAATAAACTTAAAAAAGACATTTAAAACATTAAAAAAAAAACCAAAAAACAGATTCCTTCACCTGGCAGATGGCTACTGAATATCTTAACATAAGAAGCCAACAGCCATCAGTTCAGTTGCACAGAACCACACCTAGAACTTTAACTCACCCTATCCAAGAACTAATTAATTCAGTTTATTCTACTTTTGAAACTAACGAGCATTCCAGGTCAAGGCAAAGCTAAAGCCTGGGTGACTGAGAAAGGCTCATTTATGCTCTCAGGCCAGTTTACACTTGATTTTTCTCTGGGCTTTACTGGGATGCAAGGTTACAGCTGAGGATAATACTCACAGGATGAGGCAAGGGAGAAAGCATGCTCAGCCTAAGAATTTGTAAGGTCATACAAGGATTTCTTGAATATTTCAACTAAAATATTCAATTTAAAGCTTCTGAAGGTATTACTGAGACAGAAACAAGTAGGTGGGTAGGCAGGAACCAGCTTGAGAGAAAACTATATCCAGAGTCAGACAGACCTGGTTACAAGATAGTGGATGTGCCAGTCACCTGATTTCTTTGTCCGTCAATCTCTTTATCTGTACGATGGGGGCATATTCATCCCTATACCTCATAAGAGAGCTGTGATGATTAAATGACATGATGTACTTGAGAGCTGCTAGCACTGTATCTGACCCATAGTAGGTGCTGGGATAGAGGGACAAAAACTAACATTTACAGCATGTTTATTAGATCTGAAAGGAATCATATTTCTGCCTCAACCTCTTCTCAACTTAGGTGGGAAGGCTCCTTGGTGGACCCTATCACCTGACTCCAACTTCCTAAAGAGAACTCCATTCTTCCTTTGCTAGTATTTTTAAATGTATGTATGTATGTATATATGTTTGTTTGTTTGTTTGTTTTTAATATAGTTTACTGTCAAGTTGGTTTCCATATAACACCCAGTGCTCACCCCAACAGGTGCCCTCTTCCATTCCCATCACTCATTTTCCCTTCTCCCCTACTCCCTATCAACTCTCAGTTTGTTCTCAGTATTTAAGAGTCTCTTGTGGTTTGTCTCCCTCCTCCTCCTTAACTGTTTTTTCCCCTTCCCTTCCCTTATTGTCTTCTATTACGTTTCTCCTATTCCATATATGAGTGAAAACGTATGGTATCTGTCTTTCTCTGCCTGATTTATTTCACTTAACATAATACCCTCAAGTTCCATCTATGTTGCTACAAATGGCCAGATTTCATTCTTTCTCATTGCCATGTAGTATTCCATTGTATAGATTAAACCACATCTTGATCTATTCATCAGTAGATGGCCATTTAAGCTCTTTCCATGATTTAGCTATTGTTGAAAGGGCTGCTCTGAACATTGGGGAACATGTGCCCCTATGCATCAGCACTCTTGTATCCCTTGGGTAAATTCCTAGCAGTGCTATTACTGGGTCATAGGAGAGCTTTATTGTTAATTTTCTGAGGAACCTCCTCACTGTTTTCCAGAATGGCTGTACCAGTTTACATTCCCACCAACAGTGTAAGAGGGTGCTTGTTTCTCCACATCCTCGCCAGCATCTACAGTCTCCTGATTTGTTCATTTTAGCCACTCTGACCGGTGTGAGGTGGTATCTCAGTGTGGTTTTGATTTGTATTTCCCTGCTGAGGAGGGATGCTGAGCATTGTTTCATGTGTCTGTTGGCCATCTGGATGTCCTCTTTTTCCCTTACTAGTATTAACATTTCAAACTAACTACTCAGGAGAGGACTAATACAGCATTATCCAATGGAACTATGGAACTATGATAGTCTCAAAGACTGGAATTCATAAAAACTCAGAAATACAGGGAAAATGGATGGGTTCTGGAGTCTCACACAGAGACTGGATTTCAGTTCCAGCTCTGACACTCATTAGTTATTTGGCCTTAGACAACTGACACATCCATTCTGACCCTTGGTTTCCTCAGATAATACAGACTTTGTAGAACTGTGGTGAGAATGTAAGGTGTTATCACTATTATATTCTCATGATAACACAAGGCCTCCGGCCAAGAAAACTAATCAGATCCTGGGATATAATACACAAGCAACACAAAGCTACTTTCCCTGTCCAGCTGTGGCAAACCAATGGCAATTGTAAGTGACCACCCCTGATAAGCAACTGGGAGGAGAGAAGACATTATTTTAACTGTGGCATTAAAAGAGGCTTCTAGCAATTCTTCCTCTTTTGGGGGATTCATCATAATAGTGATCCTGAATCACATATAAGAGATTAGCCATACTCCTTATACTTCATGAGCACCCTCTCCCATTCAACCTTAAACTTTCCTTTATCAAGCATCAAGCTTATTCCAAGAAGTACAGAGTAGCAAGTAGCAAAAAATCACACACACACACAACACACACACACATAAGAGGGAGGGAAGAGGGAGAGAAGGAAAAAAAATCATAATCTCATACAAAATTTATGCACCAAAACTAGTTTCTAATTTTTATTAAAAACTTATTCTATTCTATTCTGTTGGAAAGGCCATGGGTACTTTAAGAAATGTATTCCTGAAGTGCAAAGAGGGTCAACTTCAGTTAAGTAACTTTCATTGTGTGAAAACTTACATCAAACAAATTTTATGACTGAGAAAAAGAGGGCAGGTGATGTTCTACTCTTTCACTTAGAGAGAAAACATACACTGTATAACTTTTCAAAGACTATTCAAAGGTATACATTAACTTTATACTTCACAAAATTGAAGGATATTCTGCATCCTCATCACAGGGGAAAACAAGAAAGAATATATCTTTGCATTAGGAGCCAGAGGCATAATAATTTTTAGCTGAACAAGGATACTAGAATGGCCAACCAATGCTTTCCCTTTGATTAGTTGGAACACAATCAATGCACTCTTGCTAGATTGGAGTTTTCACTCAAAATAGAAACTGGCCTGAAGTCCAGAAAGCTGGAAATTCAGAGACAAATCCCCAGGAGGGATCTTGACACCTGCACTAAGATCTAGGTTTGGCATACCTATCAGGACCTAAGTTTAAGACTAGGGTTTGAAGAAGCTGTTAAGTAAAAAGAGCTGGTAAAACTTCTGACCATCTTTAGGATTCATATGTTTCTTTCATCAGCTAAAAGAAACACCTTTGGTGCTTAAGGTTTGCTTAGGTTAGCAGTTTTTAATAATGACTTTAGATTTTTAAATAGACTATTTTGGGGAGGTGTAGCTTTAGGTTTACAGAAAAATTAAGAGGAAGGTACAGAGATTTCCCATTTATCCCCGGTCTACACACATGGCATAACCTCTCCCGTTATCTACATCCCCCACTAGCATGGTACATTTTTTTACAACTGATAAACCTACATGGATACATCATAATCAACCAAAATCCATAGTTTACACAAGAGTTCACTCTTAGTGCTGTACATTCTATTGGTTTGGACAAATGTGTAATGGCATGTATCCACCATCAGAGTATCATACAGAATAGTTTCACTACGCTAAAAATCCTCTGTGCTCTGCCTTTTCATCCCTACCTCCCTTCTCACTAACTCCTGGCAACCGCTGATATTTTTACTATCTCCATTCTTTTGCCTTTTCCAGAATGTCATATAGATAGAATCAAATAATATGGAGACTTTTCAGATCAGCTTCTTTCATTTAATAATATGTATTTAAGATTCATGGCTTGATAGTTTATTTCTATTTAATACTGAATAATATTCTATTGCCTGGATATGCCATGGTTAAGCTACCATTTATCTACTGAAGAACATCTTGGCTGCTTCCAAGTTATGGAAAATATAAATAAAGCCGCTATAAACACTCATGTACATGTTTTTGTATGGTGTCAAGGGAAGCCATAGTGGGTATAGCAAGGAGGCATCCTACCCCTCCCAGTAAGGGAGGTATCAGTGGGGACTTAGTAGGAAAAAGGAGCTTCCTTCCTTGTTATTAGTAAATGCCAAATAGGGAACCTGGACTTCTACTTCCATGTGGCAGTAATGAAGTAGCAAACCCCTTTCCCCTGCCAGAGTGGTATCAGAGGAAGCCAGAAAACAGAAATTTTAAATATGATTCACAGTTTCATAATATAATACTCAAAATTTCTAGATTTGAATTGAAAATCGCTTGTCATACTAAGAACAAGGAAGATCTCAAACTACAAGAAAAAAGAGAATCAGAGGAGACCATTATCAAGATGACAGAAATGTTAGAATCATATGACAAAGGAGCCATCATAGAAAGAAAAAAAAACATTCCAATGACCAATTACAGACATACATGAAACAAATAAAAAGCATAAATTTTAAGCAAAGAAATAGCAAGCTTTGGCAAATAAATAGAAGATGTGAAGAAGAATCAAATTGATTTTTAGAATTTAAAAAAAGGAAAAAATTAGAATTTAGAATTTAAAAATATGAAAAAAACCTAAGTGAACAGTCTCAACTGCAAAATAGAGGGGACTTAAGAATCAGTGAACCTAAAGACAGAACAATAAAAATTACCCAATAAGAAAAACAGAAAGAAATTAGGCTGAAAAAAATGAACAGAGACCCAGGGACCTGTGGGACTATAATGAAAGATCTAACATTAACAGCATTGGTGTCCCAGAAGGAGAGAGGAAAGTAGGACTAAAAAACCAATACTAGAACAATGTGTGAAAACTCCCCCAAATTTGACAAAAGACATAAACCTGCAAATTCAAAGCTAAGCAAACTCCAATAGGATAAACTCAAAGAAATTCAATACCAAGACACATCTTAGCCAAATGTCTGAAAGCTAAAGACAAAAATCTTGAAGGTGGGGGGATACCTCTCCATATAGGAAAGGTAACTTAAAAGGCATGATTCCACCAGAAGCCTACTAGAACTGATCCAAGAATTCAGCCAAGTTGCAGGGTACAAAATCAACGTACAGAAATCGGTTGCATTTTTATACACCAATAATGAAGCAACAGAAAGAGAAATCAAGAAACTGATCCCATTCACAATTGCACAAAAAACCATAAAATACCTCGGAATAAACCTAACCAAGGATACAAGAGATCTGTATGATGAAAACTATAGAAAACTTATGAAGGAAATTGAAGAAGACACAAAGAAATGGAAAAACATTCCATGCTCATGGATAGGAAGAATAAATATAGTTAAGATGTCATTACTACCTAAAGCACTCTACACATTCAATGCAATTCCAATCAAAATTGCACCAGCATACTTCTCAAAACTAGAACAAACTATCCAAAAATTTGTATGGAACCACAAAAGACCCCGAATAGCCAAAGTAATACTGAAAAATAAAACCAAAACGGGAGGTATCACCATCCCAGACTTCAGCCTCTACTACAAAGCTGTCATCCTCAAGACAGTATGGTATTGGCACAAAAACAGACCCATAGACCAATGGAACAGAATTGAGAACTCAGAAGTGGACCCAAAAGTATACAGCCAACTGATCTTTGACAAAGCAGGAAAGAATATCCAATGGAAAAAAGACAGCCTTTTTAACAGATGGTGTTGGGAGAACTGGACAGCAACATGCAGAAGAATGAAACTAGATCATTTTCTCACACCATGCACAAAAATCAACTCAAAATGGATAAAGGACCTGAACGTGAGACAGGAAACTATCAACACCCTAGAGGAGAAAGCAGGAAACAACCTCCTTGACCTCCACCGCAGCAACTTCTTACTTGACACATCCCCAA